TCCTGTGTGATAGATAGATAGATAGATAGATAGATAGATAGATAGATAGATAGATTGAGCTGACTCTGTGACTCTGTGGAATTTCCTAATCCACCCAAAACCGGTTGCTTTCCAGGTTCTGAGGCATTAGAGAGATGTTTCTGTGTAAAACAGCTTCCTGGTCTTTAGCTCCAGCTGTGCGTGGATGTGCTCCATTATCAGGTCTTTAGTATTCAGGCTGCTCTCTGCAGCTGCTGATGGTGGAGGAACACATTTTCCATCCTCAGCCGGCTCCAGAGTTTGGGCTCTGCAGCCCCACAGGCTGAGTGTAGGGTCGCTTTTTAAAGCAGAAAATCAGGATGCTCCACACCAACATGAGGTCAAAGCAGAGAAAAGTGTAGCCCTTCTTATCTGCCTTTTCCTCCAGTTATTCCTTTCAGCAAACATCTGGATAATGAGAGGCCTTCCTGTCTGATTATTACCTTTAATGTATTTGTAAAGAGAATCAGAGCTGTAAAAGGTCCTGTTTGCTCTGTTATCAAAGCTAATTTGTTCTTTTTGTTGAGTAAACTGAATACAGAGCTGGTTTTAAAAGCTGTACAGGCTTTAAAACTGTCTTTTTCTGAGGTTTTTGCTGACAGCACACCTTAAAAAGCCCCTTTCAATAAGAAAAAAAGATCTCTGGGGTAGGAAATATGTTCAGGATTGTTCAGATCGTTTAACTTTGGTTCAGCTGGTGCTGCGTTTTCCTGTTTGAAGTCATTTCTTTCTTTTTATTCAGATTTGACCCAGTGGTCTCCTGTTTGGGAATAGTGTCTGTTAGAGGTGTGATGTGGCTTCTTTTTACGATTAACACACATCGAACTCATCTGTGTGTTGTCACATTTTATTTGTTGTCACCTCGAAAGCAATTTGTTTGGAATATTTTCCTCACTGTTTATTTGTTTGCTCTCATAAAATGTGACTATCTCTAGAAGGTAAAGTACTGATGGCGCTGTGTGCCAGCTGGGTTGTAATTATCGGCTTCTTAATTGCTGATTCCATGAATTCTAATGAAGTTCAGCATCCATAGAGCTTTTGCTCCAGAGCTAACGGAGAGGAGCCTGCAGCCCCCGGGCTCGCCGCTGGGAAACGGACTAATGGCTCAGACCGGCCCCTCCAGCCCGGGGAAACCTCCCCAGGCACCCACAGAAACTAGAGATGAGGATTCTGTGGCTTTGTTTGGCTTTTAATGGACAGTTGTGTCCTTAAAACCAGCCGTGAACAAACTGAAAGTGGAAAACACTTTCAGTTAGTGTTTTCCAGTTAGATAACACGTTGGAGGTAAATTACTGGCTAAATGTCCACATGTCCAACTCCTCACACATCCAAGTCGGCCATTTTGATTAGGTCATTTGACTAGCAGCTTTCTCAGGTGGAAACGAAACTTTACTGTCTATACGAAATCGGAAGACAAACGATGTCCTAACCCTAACCCTAACCCTAACCCTGACCCTAAACCTAAACCTGACCCTAAACCTGACCCTCCAGCCTTCATAATTGTGCGGTTAAACTTGTGTGGACTTATTGTACAAACATATTTAACATCCAATATTTTAACATAATATTATGTATAGAGTTTAATTCAGTGTTTTCAAAATTAATTTCAATATTTTTTAATTCATGCCATGAAGCAATTAGGATAATGCATGTTTATTACAACTTTTTTGTATTTGTCACGTTAACAAGGTTGGAAAAAAAAAACTTCACCAAAAAAATAGCCTGGGATCTTCCTATTGGTGCCCTAATCAAAATGGCCGACTTGGATGTGGGGGAGTTGGACATCCATCCTTGGCTTCCTGCAGTCTGCAGTCAGACGGACTTTAGGTTGTGTTGGCTTCTCCATCACGCAGATTTCTGGGGGCTCTTCTGTTCCCATTTCCAGCCTTTTTACCTGCTATTAGTCATATTTTAACCAGGTATCCATCCTTTGTCTCAAAGGAAATCACGCTTTTCTTAAATCTGATATTTAAGTCAATCCTACGAGGTGTTGCAGGAAGCTGCTTTTAAAGGATCCGACCAACAGCTGTAAATACTTATAATTAGTTTTTAAACTGTTTGAACATCTGCATCTCAACCCAAACTTCCTGATTCAGGGTTTGAAACCTGTTCCTGGTTTCCCAGATGCAGGCCCCAGGCCTCCAGCCTTTAATGGGGCTCCTCCGTGCACGTGTGCACGTGTGCACGTGTCGGGGGGGCTCATGCATTTTACATCAGTGTGACCAGCCTCACAAAATGAGGTCAACTGGGAAAAAGCAAGTGGGGTTTAAATGTAAAAGGTGAGTGCCGTCAGTCTGTGGGAACAAGGGGAGAAAACGGTCTGTGTTCAGGTTGACCTGTTTATTAATTTACTTCCCGTTTGATCAAAGTTCTTTGTGTTATTGATGTAATTGTTTGATATTTAACCCGCGTGTTTAACCTTAAATGGAGCAAATGTTCCTGAACCTCTGCGAGTGTTTTCCTTTGTGCTGTCAAACAGCCCTCTGTTACCTTTATTTGTCCTTTTAAAACCTTTATTTGTTCCAGAATTGACAGTTTTGTTAGCGATATGCTCCTTTTTGTGTCCATTGATGATCAGAGCTGCTGTAAATGTTTGAAATATATCGTTTTATGAGGAACGTTAACATTTATTAGCAACAAATTCCATGAACATTCAACTTTAATGACATAAAAGGTCAAACATGACCTGCGTTTTTTCTGCTAAATGGAAACATTTAAACAGGATTTCACCTGAAAAACAAGGCTAAATCTTTATATTTTACATATATTCGACATATATGAAGGATCTGAAAGCTTCACTGTCAAGGTCAAGGATGGGAAAACAGATTTAAAGCCTCCACAAGCTTTTTAAAACCCTGCAAACAGGAGTAGGTGGAGAGCAAGAGCTCCCTGAACGGGCTTCTTTTTGTCAGCAGCTTTTTTTTTGTGTGAGCCGAGAGTGTTTTTGACGATGAAATGGCAAAAAGAGAAGTGCTGATCCCAGCCAACATCCGACCGCCCCCCCCCCCCCATAAAAGAGGCCTGTTCTGACTCTTATCTGGAAGTTTTCTCCCTGTAGGAATTCCTGTCAGGAGACAAAAACTAGCCTGTTAGCATTTGTTGTTTCTAAGTACTTACCATACATTTATTTCTGATCATTAGCTTAATCAGAAGGCACCGCCACCAGGGGGCGGTGTGACTCATTTCTGCATATTTCTTCATGCATGAAGAATTAATGTTGCTAATTGATCCTTCAAAGTTAATTCATAAAGCTTTTAGAG